GAGGGGAACGACGAAGAGATGGCTTTTGTCCAAGCAGGTGCCTGGGTTTGCTTGCTGGCTGGTCTTCTCAGGGCTATTTTGGTCCCTTTGGTTGTACCCTTCCAGCCTTTCCTCTGCCTTTTGACAGCATGATGAGTGTTCACGTTGGATGATGTTTTGCAGTGTTTCCCCTTACCTCACTGAATCCTTGCACAAATCTGTGCGGTAGTCATTTCATAGATAGGGTGAGTTGCCCAAAGTCATCACATGGCTCCTAAGAACATTCAGAATTAAAACACAGGCCTTCTAACTCCAAACTTTCATGTTCATTTAGTTTATATTAGTCAACTGTTTCTAAAATTTCTTTCTTTTTCTTTGTCTTCTTTACATTTTTTTCTTTTCTCCCCTTTTTCCTTTTCCTTGTTTTTGTTTCTAAGATTTTTGCAATTTCCCCTACAACAATTTATGCTTGGATTCCAAGATACATGTATTAGGAAGCTGAGAAGATTTCAGACGGTCTGCTTTCCCCTGATTTCTTGTGTGGTGGCTGTAAATTTAGCTAGAATAATCGAGGAGAGAACACATTGTTATTTCTCTGGGCTTCATATTTTCATTTGTATAATACAGGTGTTCAACTAGTTTTTTGTTTGTTTGTTTAGAGAGATTTTTGCTATAGGGCACATGCACTTACTGGAGAGACTGAGAGAGCGAGAGAGAGATAGAGATAGATCACCCCCTAGGAGGAATGGCCATGCCACAATCCCTTCCCCTCCATTCTCATCCTGGGACTTTCAGCACGCAAGCACACGTGCCTGGCATGAGTTTCAAGCTGCTAGGTCTGGCACTTAAACTGTGATTGGCCACGTGGAAGTCAAGAGCCTCAACTGCTGTGTCCCAATTACTTGTTAATTAAAGCTTTTCTATTAGTTATGGTCTCACCCTTGCCTAATCACCTGCCATTGCTGTGGCTTCATCAGTTGAGGGCAGTAATGCATTTCTCCTGATCATCCACATCCTCCTTCTTCCTTACTAATAGCCTGGGTTTGACGAGTGTCTGTGGTATGGCTGGGGTGTTTGTATGACTTGGAGAGGTGTAAACCTGGGCATTTGGGAAAGCTGGGAGAGATGGGGCAGGTCAGTGACTTCGCCAAGCCAAACAAGATGCTGAAGCCTTTGTCTTTCTGTTGCAGGCCCCAACATCTGTACCACACGGGGGGTGAGTTCCTGCCAGCAGTGTTTGGCCGTGAGCCCTGTGTGCGCCTGGTGCTCAGATGAGGTAAGGAGCAGACACCTGACCTTGTTTCTCCCCAAGACTTAGCAGTTTCTGTGCAGGTACAGACCCATGGGATATTTCCTTTCCTCTAAATACTCAAGCTCCTTGTGCTTTCGGAGTAAAACTGGAGTGAAGCTCTCCCAGTGATGAATGGTAAAGAACTGTCACGGAGTGTGGCTGGGGATGCCATCCAGAGCCTGCTGCGTGGCCCACAGCCCTTGCCAGAGTGGTTGGGCCTCCTAGTCTCCCATCACCGTTGCCTCCCTTTTCCACACTTCACTTGCTTTTTGTTGGGGGTGCTGTGAAGAGGAGTCCTGGGTTACTTCTTTTTCCCAGAATTAAAAAAAAGGCCAATAGAAGAGGAATCTTGCACTTGTGTGTGGAGATGTTAATCAGAAGATCTTTCCTCTTCCTTTTGTTAACAACTTTTCATTTGTCTTCTAAGATGGAATCTTTCACTGTTTGATGTTGTGGAGCCGAGTTAAGAAACTGAAACTGAGTGTCAAGGCACAAGCTTTATTCAGTGGCCAAGGAAAGGAGGAGGAGAGGCTTGCAAATCAACTTTGGGCTCCTCTTGAGCTGGGGAGTTTAAGATACAGCAAATGGGGTAATGAGGGAGGAATATTCAGAGCTCTTCTAGGAAAGATGGTGAATTTCCTGGAATTCTAAAACCTGCCTCTTTGTTCTTGTAAGGACATTTCAGGTGGTATTCCTAAAGATTGTTCATTGTCATGGCGCTGATAGGTGTGTCATTTAACATGTAAATGACTCTATGATGAGGTTCGCCTCCAGAGGTCATTATGATAGCCATCTTGGATCCCATTGGTCTAGGCTGGTTCTTAGAGGGAGAGCATTATGTGATCTGCAGGCATGTGTCCTGTTACTTAAAGCAAAATGACATTTAGGGGGCCTTGGGTGTGGTCTGAGCACAGGATCGGTGACCCTTTCTCCCTGATGATTGGGCCTCATAGCTTTACTTTTCTCTCTCCTTTCCATCCTTCCTTCCATATTCTAGGTGTCACTGAGGGAAGGAGCCACACCAATTTGATGAGGATGGGAGGGTGACAGGAAAGAGGTAGCTGTGTCTAGGCAGAGGGTTTGTTGTGTCTGGGGCCCTAGGGAATGAGTGTGTCTGAGGGAATGGCTATGTTTGTGGCCAGGATGGGAATTTGCAGTTGGCAAGGGCTGGTGGGAGTAAGGGGAGGGGAAATGTGGCTGGAGAGATTCCCAGTGATTACGAGTCTGAGGCTGAGTCACTGGCCTGGTCCCCAGCAGGTGGTTACCTGAGCTCCTGGCCTGGCTGCTCCTCAGCTACCTGAAGCTCCTCACTCTACAGTTGTGAGTCCCTGCTTGCTACAGTTTTGTGACCTCTCCAATCCAGCTCCTCATTCTCTCTGTCTGCTTCTCTTTCAGATCAACTGAGTTTCCTAAAAAGGCAACCTCCCGTGCAGGCTTGGGGGAGGAGTGGGAGCTGGGAGGTTGTGTTTATCCCGGACAGGAGGTTTGCCAGAACAGCACATAGGCCAGCTCAGCACGCTGCTTGAGCCTCTGTGCTGTCAGGGGAGACTGCTTCCAGAGGCAGTTGCCCAACATCTGGGCCACATTGACTTCATTTAGCAAATGAAACATTCCCTGGGGCTGAGTCTGGGGCTGAGTCTGGGGCTGGGGCTGGGTCGGGGGATGGGTGAGTCCTTCTCCACCCCCGCAGGTTCTCCTGCCTTTGGGCTGAGCTGGCTGCTCAAGTGGGATGTGGTCTCCTTCCTTCTCCTTTGCCATGTCCTCCTTCCTTTGATTGCCATCATGGTGTTATTAAGATTTTTAAATTTTGTTATTTTTCTAAGAATTTTTAGTTCTTAACTGAATCCTGGAAAGAGAAAGCTTGGTGGGGAGGGCGCCTCTTTTGGGTTGAGTGACAGTCTGGCTGGAGCCAATGGGAACCTGGGCAGGAGCCCTGTTGTTCCTCAAAGGATGCTCCCCCCTCATCCTTCCCAGTGAAATGAGAGCAAATGCAGGCAACCCTGGCCCACAGAATCTGGGGAAAGAGAAAACATATTCCAGAAGGGCCTGTCCTGCCATTCCCTCCCTGCCTTTTCAGCCCACTTGATCTGCATGGGAACCAGTCATGTAGTTGAGGTGGGCTGAGGTCACTGACCAGACTATGGAGATGTGAGTTGGACTGTTTATGGGTGACTGTGGTAAATCTTCTGCAGGGCAGTCTGGGGAGGGCAGGGGGAAGGTACAGGGGAGGATCAAAGTGTGAGTTAAGACCATCCCAGAAATGGGAGGGTGGGGTCCCAGAGGAAGTGGGGGCAGCTGGGACCAAAGAAAATTAACTGGGGGAGGTAGGAAATCCTGTGAAATATTCTGGAAGAGAACAGCATATAAACATGAAAGCAGGGGAGGCCAAGGGTTGAGTGAATGACTTCAACTATCACTAAGCAAGGCGGGAGGCTGCCGGGGGTGGGAGGGGGAGAGGGAGTGCAGAGGAGTCCAGAGAGGGGCAAAACGTGTTGAGATGATGGGAGGAGGGAATCCCGGACTAAAACCTAAACAGGACCAATTTTTTTTTTTTTTTCCCTGAGGAAGCAAGTTTTCCTGCACTGACCAAGTTAAACTGCTGAGAATGCCTTGGCTGTTGACTTAACCAGTCTGGTCCATTTCGTAGGTGATCCATTGAATATCTGACCCTGGAGAGCCCTCCGTGCAGTGCTTCTGCCTCCCCTGCCTTGGCTCTTTCAGTGGGGCTGGCAGTGCCTGGAAAACAACTGGTTGGGCTCGGCTTTCCCTTGGTCCTAGAGGACAGCAGCTCTTGGGTGTGTATAGCGAGTGCTTGGCTGGGTGATAGGAAAACATAGCCAATGTGGATGAGCATGGCGTTTTGGGCCCATCTGCATGGGGTGTGTTCTTGGAGGGTTGGATACTGACATGGTTTGGATTGTATGCTGTCTCTGATCTGTAAATCTAACAAAGGGACCAGCTTCATACAGCGATTCTATTGTGGCCTTGGCCGCAGTGGTGCCATGCTGGAGTCTAAAACTTCCCAGACTCACTTGGTGGCCAGAATCACTGCAGTGGCATACAGTTCTGCAATGCTGGGTCCATGTGTAAGCTCAGGGCTGGGTTCTTGGACTGACCTGAGTGAACCTGCATGCGTGCATGCATATGATGTGATCCTGGCTGACTGGGAAGGCTTGGGGAAGGCTTGAGGTGTGCGACCCTGTTGAGAGTACCTGTCTCTCACTCTCTCTGTGTCTCACTCTTCCTGTCTCTCACTCTCTCTGTGTCTCACTCTTATGAAATAAAGAAAATAAGTTTCTGGACTGGCCCCTTAACCTAGGGTTAAGGGAACTGGATCTCACGTGGCCTACTTGGTTGGTTGAAAAGCATACCAGGTGTGTGTGCATACACCCCTAATCCTGAGGGGATGAAGGAATGGAGGAGAAGGGATTACAGTATGACCACGCTCCATTGGGGAGGGAGATGCTTCCCCACCATCTCTCTGTCTCTCTTTGGCACATGTGCCCTTTAGCAATTTAGGGAAAAATGTTCCTGGATGGATGCCAAATCTGTTCCTTCAGAATGGCTTTTATGATACCAAGTTTGGTAAACATTGCTAACTGAAGGGACTGATTGATCATCAGAGTCAAGGTGAGTGGAGGTGGTATTAAGATTGCTAGATAAATGCAGAACACTCAGTTAAATTAGAATTAAACAGCAAAGAATTTTTAAAGTATGTTCTGAATACTTAAAACAACTTTTTTCTTTATTCATGACAGACCACATACACAAGAGAGTGAGAGAAACAGAGAGAGGGGTGCTCTCCACAGGTCTGGTTTTACCACGATCCCCTTCCTCCAGTCCTGCAGCCCATCAGATCTAGTGTACTGGGTGTGTTTCAGGCTGACCAGGCTGGGGATGCAAACTGTGGTCGCCGTGTGAGATCTGGCTTCTCTTGAGAAGTATACCACTATTTTGCCACAGAGCTGACCCTGTCCTAAGTATTTGCTGAATTTGACAACCTTAAGGTAGAGGCCCAAACCAGGAATTCTTATATACGCTGAGTGTACACTGAAAGGTTGACCAGCTCTCAATTGGCCTGATATCCAAGGATGAAAGAGGAATGAGTGGTTTTAACAAAATAGGGGAAGACGCCAATAGGACTTCCTTGTCATATCTTCTCTGCAACTGCAGGGGAAAGGTGTAGACCACCATTTATATGTTTTCTAGTCATTAACATAATTTCATTCTCACTTCTCTCCTGTTCTTTCTTTCTACTTTTTTTAAAAAAGAATTATTTATTTAATTTTATTTGTTGTTATTATTATTTTTTAAAAATTTGACCAGAGAGAGACAGAAAGAGAGAGAGAAAGAAAAGGAAAGTGAGAAAGCAAGCTGCCAGGTCTGAGATTTGAACCATGGTTTGCCATGTGAGAATCTAGCACCTTAACCACCATGCCACCAGTGAGCCCCTCTTTCTACTTTTTTTTTTTAACCTGAGGCTAAATGTTCATCTTGAGAGGTTTTCTCCAGTTTATTATAAAAAAGTATAATATTAAGAGTGCTCTTCTCCTTGTAAATAATGAGGTGTGAATACCAACAACTAGAAACTAAAACACTTTCCTTTTTCTATTCTTTCTGTTCCCTCTGTGTTTTGTGTGTATGTGTTCAAGTAATTTATTATCCTCACTAGTTGAATAAATCAGATATCTATGTTATCTATTTGGATTGGAGATGTTTTAGTAGCTTTGATGGGGTGGGAGGAGTACAAGGGCATATTGACCACTGACCTTTAAGAAGAACGTGTAATAATAGTTACAATGGGAATTGTAGGAGTCACCTAACATTTGCATTTATTAGTTTGAGTATATTTGACTTATATTAGGATTTATATGTATATATTTAAAGTTTATTAATTTCCTCCATAAGCAAGAAAAGAGAGAGAGCACCCCCAAAAGGGTCTTGATGCCATGGTCTACCCCCAGCTTCAGTCAGTCCTGGATCATGGACAGGCACATTCCTGGTGTACTCAGGGAGGTCTTGGGTCATGAACCTGGCACCTTCCCATGCGGGTCAGCCTCAGAGAGTCACGTTCTACTGCTATACCATTGTCTGGCCTCCAAGATGTTTATATTTTGAAAGCATTTCACGCTCGGCCTCATCCTGTCCCCTTACCAATGCTAGGAGGTGGGCACTTACTCATGCTGTACTTTCCCAGCTTCCAAAATGGGATTAGTGGAGGATGCTTTAAAAGCATGTGTCACTCTCCCAGGAAAGGGAGGTAATTCAGGGCGCGGGCCAGAAGCTCCCATCTCTGTGCCCGGGATCTTCCCCTGGGTCTTGGCTATTTTTGTCCCTTTTGTGTAATATCCTGTTTCACTGGAACCTGGAGTTGTAATATCCACTCCTCTTGCAGTGTTCTCTCGGAATAACCTGGCGACGTCCCTCTAGCTTCTCAGTCTGGGCTGTTCAGAAAGAGACTGCTGCCCAAGTGTGTTGAGAGTGCTGCCAAGGTATCCTCCTGTGACAGGAGGCTCTCAAGGGAAGCTTGGCTGATGACCAGGCCTGTTATGTTTCTGACCTCTGATGTCAGCAACCACATCGGGAGGGAGGGAGGCAGGGAAGGAGCCAGCTTTTTTTTCGATGGTTACTTTTCTAAGGAAATTCATAACAAACAGTAAGGACTGTCTACATGTTTTAGCTCTCAAGCACTCTGCTCCTTGGAACTGCCACATTAGTGAAGTGGATCGGGAAACCTCCCTCATAAACATCCTCTCCCTGGGGGCCGGAAGACAGCACAGCAATTGACTAACATGGTGCTCTGTGAGGCTGACCCACATGGGAAAGTTCCAGGTTCAAGTTTGTAGACCTCCCTGAGTGTACCAGGCATGAGTGTGCCATGATCTGGGGCTGGCTGAGGCTGGATTGCAGTGCCAAGACCCTGTTGGGTCCTTTCTCTCTCTCCCCCTCTCTCCGTGTCTTTGTTGCTCATGGAAGAAAGAAAGAAAGTTAAAACAACAACAACCTCCTCCCTTCTCCCTCCAAAAACCTTCTCTCCATTCACTGCTGCCACCTGGAGATCTGGGACAGCCTTGTTTCATTCCAGTTCCTGGCCTCCCTCTTCCCTGCTCTCTCCTTCAGCATCTGTCTCGTCCTCACTGCCTCTTGGTCTATCTAATCATTGCCTTTTTTGGAAGGTTTTCTCCCTGGGGCTTTATAGGCAGCTGGAATCAAGGATCAGATTGGGGTTTTTCTTGAGCAGGGTGGAGGTTGCTTCCTGAGGGAGAAGGGACAGAGATCCTAGGGACAAGGAGAGTCTGGGCACGAACCCCCTGGTGTCCATAAGCTCTTCCCTCTACCATTCTGTCCTTGACTAGAGCTGGGTGTGGAGGAGGCTTTCATATCTCTCAGAGTCCTGGAGACTCTGTGATGTTCCTAAGGGAAGATTTGCAGCCAGGAAGGCTAACTCTGAGGCGCCGATTTCTACTGCTGAGCCCATTTTTCTACTCCCATCGCTGTGACGCTGAGAGGGAAAGGGTAAAGAGAGGAGCTGCTGGCTTCTAGAAGCTCCTTTCACTTTGTGTCTGGGCCAGGGTGGTCCTACTGCATGGGTGTTGTTCCTATTCTCATCAAGCCCTTTGGCTTATCAGAGGGGGACTGGGTGGAGAAGAGAGACTTCGAGCATTGGGAGGAGCTGGGGGCTACAGGGTTTTGAGTGTGGATGGCTCCTGTGGTCCTGGCCTTAGGGCTTCCAGGTCACATGAGGGGGCTGAGGAGGCAGAAAGTTGTCCTTTTGTCCCTCTCTCACACCTCCATCTTGTTTCCTGTTCCCTATCTGGGGCATTCTCTGGGGTGACTCCTAGGACCATCCCTCATTCATTCCTCCTTCTCTGCCTCAGCTCTCACTCTACACAGAATATAATAAGACATTTTATGAGGATAGTTACAGTCAGGCAATCTAGTTGGCATCTCAGTTCTGCCACTTCCTAATGTCTGAGGTATAGGAAATGCTCAATAAATCCTGACACTAGGTTGAACTGTAGTGCTGGAAACCATATGGCCATTCACAGGCTTGGGTCCTGAGTTGACCTGAAAACATTCTGGTTGTGTGCCCCGGATCCTGAGGAGCTGGACGTCTGGGAGAGGGAATTGCAGTGTGAGGAGACCCTCTCAAGCATACATTTTTTTCCCCTCTCTCCCTCTGTCTTTCTCTCTTGTGTATGCATGCACTCTCATGAATAAAATAAACTTTAAAAAATGTTTACACTAGTTGTTCTGGGTTATGGGTTATCCAGCTGACACTGGAAGTGGCTGTGAGGGGGCTGGGTAGAGCCAAGGGTGAGGGGGAGCCTGAAGCCCTAGACAGTGCACATTAGGTCTAGCTTTCTGGCAATGGGCCCTCATGGACTTGTGCCCACACAGTGCTGGCTAAATTTGCTGACTATCAGAGCAGGAAGGGACAGAAAACACCACGCCATCTAATCTCCTTATGAAACAGGTGAAGGAACTGAGGCTCAATGGGACTTACCTGAGGTCACATGGCTAGTTAGTGGAAGATCTAGAACTGAGCCTATTTCCTGGTTTCCAGTGTTTAAAAACAGCATGTCTCTATTCAATGGAGTACTCAGGTGTTAAGCCCACAGAGCCCAGAGGGCTGAGGGATACACACCCGGGTTTTTGCAAGGGTGCTCAGTTTTTGTTCAGAGTGAAGGGGGAAACTGAAGGCACAGGATAGGCTCTGGGCAGGTGCCTGATATCATGAGATTTTCCCCCAAGCTTATAGAGTTGATTCATAATTAATTTATATAGGAACTATTTATCAAACATCATATTATAATAGCTAATATTAACTGAGCACATACTGTATACCAGGCACCATGCTATGTGTATTATATGCACTGTTTTATTTAGCCCCATGTGACATCTTCAGAGGGAGGGTTATTATTATTTTTAAATATTATTTTTAATTGTCAGAGAATATAGATGCTTGCCGGAGAGACAGAGATGAAGAGAAACTCCCCTCTCTCCCAATGGGGCATGGTCGTACTGCAGTCCTTTTTCCTCCATTCTTCTTCACATCAGGATTTTGGGCATGCATGCACACACACCTCGTGTGGTTTTTTTGTTTTAGTTTTAGTTTTACATTAGATATCATTAGTTTATTACAAAAGAGAAACATGGAAATTATTTACATGATGAAAGATTTCACAACTTCAGTGGAATGGGCAGCTTCGTGTGATGCCATTTCAGTAGTGATTATTTCAGTCTACATACTTTCCAAGAATGTCACCATCTCTAAATATGAAATAATCCTTGTCATCTAAAACTACTTTGGTGCCTCCATATTCCCAAAGAAGAACTTTATCTCCAATTTTCACGCTAACTGGTTGAATCTCTCCACCCTTTCCTTTAGAGCCAGATCCAACAGCTGCTTCTGTTGCTTGCAATACTTTTCCTTGAGACTTTTCTGGAAGCATAATTCCTCCTTTGGTTACTGTTTTGGCAGCACTCGTTGCAAACAATGCTCAGTCAAAGAGTGGAAGAAACTTCCTATATGCCTGTCCTGCCATGACTCCTGCAGACACAGCTCGTAGCTCGTATCCTGGTCTCGCGCAGCCACTGCAGCAAGTCTCTGGCGTGTTTTTCAAGTGGCCAGGGCCAGGATTTAAACTGTGGTCAGTCATGTGGGATCTGGCTTCCAATGCACAGCACTTAACCACTACATCATAGGGCCAGCCTCTTAGTAATTGTTTATTTAAAGAATTATTTTTTTTATTTAACTTTATTTATATATTTATTTGTTTATCTTAATTTGACCAGAGAGGGCTAGAGTTAAGAGAGAGAGAGAGCTAAAGTAAGCCACCAGGTCTGGGACTCACCATGTGGGAGTCCAATACACTTAACCACCCTGCCACCTGCTGGCCTCATAATTTTTATCGTAGTAAAATAGCATAGAATTACCATCTCAACATTTTTAAAAAGTATTTATTTATTTCTACACACTCCAGGTATGTGCATGTGTATGCATGGTCTTAGCCGGATGAGTCTAGGGGTGGATAACAGCATAGAGTCCCTGCGAGAGTGTCTACGTCTCTGGTGCTCTCTCTGTCTCTCATGGACTGAATAAACAAATAAAACAAATGAACACAAAACCAAATATGCTGACCTAATGGCATTCTACTGTACAGGCCCTCTTCCTAGCCACCAGTGCATGTGCGGGGGCACATTCAGCCTCCTAGTATCTCAATTTCCTCTTTCTGTACAACAATCCTAGGGGCTTATTCTAGAGGGACCATACCAGTGTGTTTATGCTGGTTTAGCTACAAGGTGCTGGGTGAATGCTAAGCTGTGGCGGGGTGGGGTCTGTAGAAGGTGAAGAGCCATTACAGCTTTGATGGCGGCACGTTCCCTTTGACTCCTATCTTTTTTTTTTTTTTTTTTTTGAGAGGTTTTTGCTATAGGGCATGTGCGCTCGCCAGCCAGCCAGAGAGAGACAGAGAGACAGAAAGTGAAAAATCACCCCCCAGGGGGGATGGCCACACCTCAATCCTTTCTCCTCCATTGTCCTCCTGGGATCTTGGGCATGCATGCACACACACCCGGCATGAGTTTAAGCCACCAGGTCCAGGACTCGAACTGCGGTCGACTACGTGGGAGTCCAGCGACATAACCATTATGCTAACTGCTGGTCCCTTGACTCCTATCTTACAGGCCCTGCCTCTGGGCTCACCTCGCTGTAACCTGAAGGAGAATCTTCTGAAGGATGACTGTGCCTCGGAGTACATTGAGTTTCCGATCAGTGAGGCCCAAATACTGGAGGCCAGGCCCCTCAGCGACAAGGGCTCTGGAGACAGCTCCCAGGTTACTCAAGTCAGTCCCCAGAGGATTGCATTGCGGCTCCGTCCAGGTAGGGATGGACCTTATCAGGGGAGAGACCTGGGACGGGTAAGCCCAGGTGTCAGGGAGGAGATCTGAGCAGAAAATCTTGGGGAAGTAGCTCAGAATGGAGATGAGGTGGGAAGAGGAAGATGTGCGAGGAAGTGTGGGCAGGAGAAGGGAAAGAAATGGGAGGTGTTGAGACTTGAGTCAGAGTTTGAACCTTGATTTTGTTGTATAGTAGCCAGCCATTCGACCCTGGGCAAGTTACTTAACCCTACTGACATTGTAGTTGTTCAAAAAACGTTTGTTTCTGCCTTCCTTCAGTGTTTGTTTTTTTGTAGCTTATGGTTTCGTGCTGAGGTGCAAATGAAATATAGGCTGAGAAAGTAATTCGTAAGCTTTTTCTGTGCAGATTGGGGCAGGGTCATAGGGAGAGACAAAACAAGGATAGGGACCTTTAGAAGGAGGAAGGATTAGGCTAAGAGACAGGCTTTTTGAAATTTGATTTTAACTTTCCAATTAAATCAAGAAGGATTTATAAGACCAACTATATGCCATGCTTCTTAGGTGCTATGAGATGGAGAGAGGGATAGGATACCATTCTGGTCTTTTACGGAGTCTGAGGTAGAGTAATTGCCCAAACCTCTGTGACTCAGAATGGTAGGCCCTTGGGATCCAGAAAAGTAGACAGATGGATATCTAGAGAGAGTGGGAAAATTTTGGAATGAAAAGGAAAGGGTTAGCAATAGGATCAAAAGACTGGAAGAGGAGTAGAATTGCAAGGGGAGAGGAGAAGGGATTAGGGCTTTTAAGTTTGGTTTGATCAGATGGTTACTTTGTTTGAACTGTCCAGATCTGCAGTATGCATTCTTAGAGGGGTAGGAGGAGAAAAACTAACTTCCTTCTGCCTTCCAGATGATTCGAAGAATTTCTCCATCCAAGTGCGGCAAGTGGAGGATTATCCTGTGGACATCTACTACCTGATGGACCTGTCTTACTCCATGAAGGATGACCTATGGAGCATCCAGAACCTGGGGACCAAGCTGGCCTCCCAGATGCGCAAGCTCACCAGTAACCTGCGGATTGGCTTTGGGGCCTTTGTTGACAAGCCTGTGTCACCATACATGTTTATCTCCCCACCGAAGGCCCTCAAAAACCCCTGCTATGAGTAAGCCTTTCTTCTAGAAGCCAGAGAAGCACCCTTCTCCATTGCCTCAGGCAGACCCAAGTCCTGGTTTCTATTTCTAGCTCTGACAGCTGCCTTCTGGCAAAACCATATCTCATCTCTACTGTGGTCTCCCTGTCTGGCAGATGGGCTAGCCTGTTGATCTGGAGTATTGTGTCTTAAGAGTTCAAGGCTGTTTGGAGACCTAGAAAAAAATCACCAGCTTCTTGGTCTTGGTCACAACTCAACAAGAGATGAGAGAGAATGGAGAGAAATGAGATCAAAAGTAAAGGAAAAACATATGGATAACTAAACAGAAGATTTATGATTTCAGAAGGCTAGACTCTATTGTGGTTACCATTATCGTCCTCATCATTAAGAGCATGCATCCCACAGTGTTAAAATGCAAGAAATTAAGTCATAGAAGAATGTAGAAAAATGGAAATGACATACTAGAGGATGTGTTCACTTGACACACATATGTTTTTCAAGGCTGCCAGAGCTGGGATTTGAACCACAGTCAACCATGGGGGATCTGGCTCCCTTAACCACTAAGCTAATGGTTAGCCCATGGAAATGAACCCTTTGATAGTCTATAAATTGAAAAATTGTTTCTCTGTTTAACATTTGGTTTACAACCGAGTGGCTTGGGCAATCGGTGGACACTTTGCAGATCCATGTCTTATAATAATTTTAAATCATAGTTACTCAGTCTGACAAGATATGGATTTGATTTTTAATTATCAAAGTTATAGCAAGTGGCTTTTAACCTTCTCTTTGGTTTGTAATGTTCCCCAATAAAAGCATCAGTTGTCAGTTAAACAAACTATTAAGCTGAAAACAGAAATAGTCCTATATGTCATGGTCTATCGATTTATTGATGTAAGTTTAGGGACCTCAACTTATTGATGGGCTTTGCTTTATTGTTACTTTAAAAAAATGTTGAAAATGTTAAGAAAAAGGCAATAGCTGGGACCAGCAGATGGTGTAATGGTTACATTGCTGGACTCCCACGTAGTCAACTGTGGTTTGAGTCCCGGACCTGGTGACTTAAACTCATGCCATGCGTGTGTGTGTGCATGCCCAAAATCCCGAGAGGAGAATGGAGGAGAAAGGGTTGTGGTGTGACCATTCCCTCTGGGGGATGATTTCTCACTTTCTTTCTCTTGTCTCTTTGTCTCTCTGGCAAGTGCACATGCCCTATAGCAAAAATCTCTCCAAAAACAAAGAATAAAGCTATAGCAACAATTTGAACCTTGCTGTCATCTAAGTATTTTTCCATGTATTAACTCACTTAACCCTCACAACTAGTCTGATGAGATTTTTACTGCTGCATCTGTCTCCATTTTCATAGCTTAGGTTTAGACAGGCTTTCTAATGGTCCTATGACTAGTAAGTGGGTAAGGTGGGATTTGAACCAAGGCAATCTGGTTTCACAACTCACTCTCTTTTCTTCTAGGCTAGCTAGAGATAAAGTTGATGTGAGCCCTCAGGTAATTTGAGGAGTTTGGAGTCTGAGCTGTCTGGCTGATTGTGGTTGTATGGAACTGGCCAGGCATATCACTATCCATATTGCCCTCCTCTTGTCCCCTCCTCCTCTCCATGCTGTCTGTTTCATCAGGGTGTCTGCTGAAATGATCTCCCATTCCTCCCCAGCATGAAGACCACCTGCTTGCCCATGTTTGGCTATAAACACGTACTGACGTTAACCGACCAGGTGACCCGCTTCAACGAGGAGGTGAAGAAGCAGAGTGTGTCACGAAACCGAGATGCCCCAGAAGGTGGCTTTGATGCCATTATGCAGGCCACAGTCTGTGATGTGAGTGTGGAAGGCTTGGAGTGCCAGGTGTGGTTGGCACAGATCAAAATGGGGAGGCAAGTGACTCAACCCTGGAGATTTCAGATATGAAATAAGAGATCAGAACATACTAGAACATAGTGCTGTATGAATAGTAAATTACTCCTGATATATAACCTTTGCTTATGTCCACTGCCTGGCTACAGCTGATGTTTCTTTGAACCTCAGTGATCCCAGATGTTCTCTGGGGAGAGCACTTTCGCTGGAATTATTTTCGAGTCAAGGCTTAGGTTAACTTTACCTCAGCAAAGCAGGTAGCTGTTCAGATAGGATTTGTTCTATCTTGGCCCAGCTCTGAGGATGCAGGTGGGTTTCTAGATGAGCAATGTGACTGTCATTGGAAGAGTTGTGTTTGGAGCTGAAAAGGTGTCATTTAACTGCTTGAACTAATTAGCTGTGAGACTTTTTTCCAGAGAGAACAGAAACTCCTGAGTTAAAAAGCTCCAACTTGGGTCCCAAGGACTAGGACTAAGGCAGCTTGTCTAGCCCTTCAGTCAGGGAGGTCTTTGGGTCTTTATTCTCTACCAATGACATGCTGAAGTTGCTGTCTCCTTTGCTCCTGATCTCCCTTATTTTTTTATACAGGAAAAGATTGGCTGGAGGAATGATGCATCCCACTTGCTGGTGTTTACCACTGACGCCAAGACTCATATAGCACTGGATGGAAGGCTGGCAGGCATCGTCCAGCCCAATGATGGGCAGTGTCATGTAGGCAGTGACAACCATTATTCTGCTTCCACTACCATGGTGAGATCCCTGGCACTGTCTGTGACCTTTGTTCACTATGATCAGGAAGCTTTTGTGAGAATATGAAAATGACAGTCCTTCCTCTGGGCAGAGTGGAAGACTTGGTTTCAGCTGGCTGCCATCCCCTACCAACTGGATACCCACAACCAGAGTACAACCGGCACAACCATTAGAGATGGCCCTGCTGTGATCAGTGTTATTACTGCCTCCATTGTCACCAGCAGCTACAGTAGCATCATGGCATCCAGAATAGACCCTAAGGACTTCTATGGGTCCAGATGGAAAGTAGACCTTCCCCTCTACTGTGCACTGGTCAGCTCCTCCTTGAAAGACCATGCTCACTTGTGGTTATTGGAAAAAGAGACAAAGATAATCAACTACATGGAGAATGGGTCCTATGAAGAAAGGTTAAAGGGCTCTGGATCAGTAAGCTTGAGGGAAGAAGGCTAAAGGATGATTTAGCTGACACACAGAAAGAACAGACGGTTAATTGAGAGGAAAGGAGGCCAGGCCATGATAGTGTGTACTGGTAGGCTCTGCTACTGTGTAGACCAAGGCCACATGGGAGGCCTGACTTTGCTTCTGGTCCACCCTAAAAACCAGGTGCAGTGATGTACGCCTGTAGTACTCAGCAGTCTGAGGCAGGAGGATCACAACATAGGAAGACCCTGTCTTTAGTTTTTGTTACTAGAGAGCACGTGTGCTTACCAGAGAGAGATGGGAAGAAAGCCTCTCCTAATGGGGTATGGCCATGCCACAATCCCTTCTCTTCCCTCTCTCCATCCTGTCAGGACTTTGGGCACAAATGCACATGTACCCAGCATGCCCTCAAGCCTCCAGGGCAAGGACTTAAACTGTGTTCGGCTATGTGGGATCCAGTTTTCTTAACCACTAGGGTACAGAAGTAGCCTATAAGATTTTGTCTTTAAAAGAAAAAGGAAGAAGGGAGTTTAAATTAAAACAGGAGAAATTGCTGTAAGCCACAGAGAAATGTGCAGATGCTCAGATTGATGCTACTCCAGGTATCCAGTGGGAGGTATGATGTGGACTCTGCATCTCTGCAACACAGTTGAGCCTCTACTTTATCTAGGTGGCTTCATGGTAAAGGCCAGTGCAGGGGCAGGAGATGGAGCTGGATGATCTCATGAGCTCCCTGCAGGCCTAAGATCCCAGGGACAGGTTTGTAATTCACCACCACCCCAGTGCTGCTTGAATTCCTTGGTGTCAGCCACATGGAAGTCGGGCACTCTCAGATAACAGGCGAGTCAGCAGCCTTTGCTGCCTAGTCTATGCAAGGCTCTGTACCAGGGCTGAGGGAGACAAAGAGACCATATAAGGTCCTTCCCTGAGGGAGTGTTTGCTTTAGTAGAGGAGAAAGGATAAATGTATTTACTAATAACCTGAGATGCATGATTAGGGCTCGGGGGGTGGCATAGTCAGTAAAGCCTAGAGGTACTCAAAGGAGGAAAACTCATCATGGGCTGGAGTGGTCAAGGAAGACTTGGAGAAGGTGGACTTGAGCTGGGTCCTAAGGAAAGAGAAGGATTAACAAAAAGAAAGCCACTGGATGGGAGAAAGAGCATGGGCAGATCGGTGCTGAGTGGAAGTAGGAGAGGGGTGAGTGATGTTTGGAAAGAAAGGTTGAGACTGCATGGTGGAGGAGCATGAGGGCCAGGCCAAGGCATTTGTCAGTAGCTCTCTAACAACCAGGCCTCACTCAGTGCTTGACTTAGAAGCTGCTCCATGGTTTTTATGCGTCAAGTTCGAGAAGGAAGAAAGGTGCTTAGTTTCAACTGCATTGGCCTGTACCTCTTCATCTATCTGTAGAGTTTACAGCTATGTTTATTCTACTATTTATCTTTCTTGACTCTCTTTGACCATCGGTAAAAAGCACCGCTACTGTCGACCACAGCTCAGATCAGCGAAGTTTGAAGGCATAGAATTTCGAGATGTATGTGAGACTTCCTTACTAACCTTCACATCCTCTTTTCTTTCCTTTTTATTTATTTATTTTTTTAGGATTATCCCTCTCTGGGGCTGATGACTGAGAAACTATCCCAGAAAAATATCAATTTGATCTTTGCAGTGACTGAAAATGTAGTTGATCTCTACCAGGTGACTATGCCTCTGGGGCTTCCAGGTGTGGGTCCTGTGATTGGTGGATCTGTCCTGTAAAGCCATCCCATGCTAGCATTGGCCATGGTTCCCATCGAGGAAAGACCCTCCTTCAACTCATTCCCTACGGGCTAAAAATCCTCTCTGTGGCTTTTCTACTCTAACCTCACCCTACTAGGAGGGGTTGATGTTTGTGGTGGTGGAGGGGAAGTAATTCAGTAGGGTGAAGGATATGAAATATCTCTGTACCTTCCCCCAATCTGCATTTCCAGATACTCAATCTGGCCTTGGGAGGGATTTTAGAGACCATTCACCACCTTCCTCTGGTAAACTCTGGACATCTTTGTCCTCCTTTCCAGAACTATAGTGAGCTCATCCCAGGGACCACGGTAGGGGTTCTATCTGCAGATTCCAGCAATGTCCTCCAGCTCATTGTGGATGCGTATGGGGTGAGTGTGTTGCCCTGGGAATGGGTCTGCTGAGGGTCCACCCCACTTGGCTTACGCAGCAGGGCTCAGATCAGGGAGTCCTGGCTGGTGGTCCAGGCAGGCCCTACTGCCTTTCCTCTTGTGCTCCCAGAGACCAAGAAGTGGGCAGCCCTGGGAGGGATGCAGCCTTCTACAAAGAAAATGGCCTGGAAAAGAATGCCAGGGAGCAGCAGGGATGATGAGTGAGGAGCTCAGGGAGGGTGGAAGGGAAAGACGGCATGGGAAGAAGAAACAGGGCTCTGAAGCTGTCGTGACGAGTGAGGGAGAACTGCAGAGAAAAGGGTAAGTTGAGCCTGAGGAAGATAAGGTTGGTGAAAAGTTAGGTAGATGGTGTTACTATCCAAGCTGGCCAGTCTTGGCACTCTCTTTTTGCGTGTCCCTGAGGCCCGCAAGGGTGTAGCTGATGTAGCTCTTTCCCAGATTCACCTTTAAAAGAAGTAGGGACAGAAAGAGGGAGCAGGTTCCTGGTGGGAAATACAGCAGGAAACAGGTTCCTAGGGGTGTTCCGGCAACTTCCAGGCATACCTCAGCATCTGGCACTGCAGGGTGAGTCCATGGTCACTTGTAGATTTTGTCCATTTTCTTTCATCTCATTTTTTTACTGTTTTTTTTTTTTTGGTCATTTTCTACTCAGAAAATCCGGTCTAAAGTAGAGCTGGAAGTGCGTGACCTCCCAGAGGAGTTATCGCTATCCTTTAACGCCACCTGCCTCAACAACGAGATCATCCCAGGCCTCAAGTCTTGTGTGGGACTCAAGATTGGAGACACGGTGAGGTGGGCTGGGCAGGGGTGAAGCTGCAGTTCTGGCCCTTCCTGTGCCCTGGAGCATTTGGGGACCCTGTCCCCTTTCTTCCCCAACCTTCCTCCTGAAAGGCATTATGAGTTAGATGTAACAAAGCTGCCAGTTGTTTCCTATGAGACTTCTGTCGTCTAAATCTTCTCTATTTGTTAAGCAAACTTCATCAATGGGATTTTTTTAAAAAAATACTTGCATTTTGGTCACTTCTGTGTGTATACATGATTGATTACAAATGAAAATATTTCTTACTATTACCTCCTAACCTACTCTCCAGCATCCCCAAGGTAAGGCCTTTCTTTTCTCTACAGGGTATCATCTACAATAGCTGTATCATCATAAATACTTATGAGCACTGACATGTACCAGGCACGGTTCAAGCTGCTGCATATTCAACAGCAAACAGAACAGGCAAAAATACCTGTCCTTGTGGAATTTAAGAATACAAATATTCATTTTGTCCTTCTAGTTCTTCATGATTTTCCTCGTTGGTTAGTTCTCCAGAAAAAAAGGAGGGTGGAAAGGAAGGAAATAGATCTTTGAGTCTATTGATCTAGCAATCTATGCATAGCTATCTGTACATCTCTCTGTCATCTAGGCCTATGTGCACGCACCACACATGAGAAATAGTGGCCTGAAATGTGCTCAACTGCACAAGTGATGTGGAAATTGAACAATAGATCCTGAGCCTGTGGTTGACCACCACGTGGCATTGTGTGGTACAAAGCAGTGTTTTTCCTTTCTTTTGTTTTTCCTATTTTATAATTTCATATTTACATTTAAGTGCTGTACATCTTTGTGGGGGTATAATAGAATCTTCAAAGCATGCGTGCAGTGTGTGATAATCAAATAAAGGATAATATTATAGTCATCATTTCCAACAAAGAACACCACATTATGATGTATATTATTAACTTTTTTCTCTTAGCTTTTCTTTCTTTCTTTATATAGATAGAGTAAGAGAGAATCTTGTTGTTATTTTGCAATCACTCCAGCTAGCTTAGTTGACCAGAGCAGACTATTCGTGAGATCACAGATTCCAGTAATCTGCTTGGGCTGGTTTATTTCTTATGTGGCATAAAAGATAGCCTTCTCTTTCTTTCTTTTAAAAATTTTTTTGCTGTAGAGTGCATGCTCGCTGGAGAGAGAGAGAGAGAGAGAGAGAGAGAGAGAGAGAGAGAAAGAAAGAGAGAGAGAGAGAGAGAAAGTAAGAAAGCACTCGCCGGGGGGATGGCCACATCACATTTCTTTCTCCACTCTCCTCTTGAGATTTTGGGCATATATACATGTGTCAGGTGTGTTTTTCAAGCTGCTGGATCCAGGATTTAAATTGCACAGTTAGCCATGTGGTAACTACCTGCCTTAACAGCCAAGCCACCAGCTGACCCCCAAAAGAACCTTCTATTTCTTGACTGTAAACCATGTCCTTGCATCCAGCCAGCTATGTTACAACAGCACAACTATCCCACTGCTTTTGTTTTTGCTTTGCGGACCTCAGTTGTGGGAAGGCTGAGAACCTCCTGATCACAGGAGGATAAAATACCCACTTTGGGTGTTGCTCAGCAAGGCAAGGAACAGCTTCTTTCCACCCAGGGCTAGAATGTTGCGTGGGCTGACTTGTGTCTGAATTTCATCTGGCTTTCTGTGCAGGTGAGCTTCAGCATCGAGGCCAAGGTGCGTGGCTGTCCCCAGGAGAAAGAGAAGTCCTTCACCATCAAACCCGTGGGCTTCAAGGACAGCCTCACTGTCCAGGTCACCTTCGACTGTGACTGTGACTGCCAGGCCCAGGCTGAGCCTTACAGCCGCCGCTGCAACAATGGCAATGGGACCTATGAGTGCGGGGTGTGCCGCTGTGGGCCCGGCTGGCTAGGGTCCCAGTGCGAGTGCTCAGAGGAGGACTACCACCCCTCCCAGCAGGATGAGTGCAGCCCCCGGGAGGGCCAGCCTATCTGCAGCCAGCGGGGAGAGTGCCTCTGTGGCCAGTGCGTTTGCCACAGCAGTGACTTTGGCAAGATCACGGGCAAGTACTGCGAGTGTGATGACTTCTCCTGTGTCCGCTACAAGGGAGAAATGTGCTCAGGTGAGTAGGACAGCACACCTTTCTCATTCTGCAAACCCACACACTCTCACACACCCGTAGCCCCTGGAACCAGGTGAGGGCTTGAGGTGGGGGAAGGCGGGCAAAGCTCAGTAGTTGGTGTTCTGCTCTAATGGCAGAGAAGGACAAATGAGGTTTTCCTTAGTTTCATTCTGCTCTCTGGGCCTTTGGTTGTGGGGTGCAAGGAAGCTAAAACTAACTGCTAAATGAGCTGGAATGAGGGTCTTCTCTCTCTCCTAGAATAGCAGGGAAGGGCTAGGGAAACTTCAAGGTGAAGATAGTTTTTTTCTTCTTTTTCTTTCATCTGTCTACTCTGCTGAGGTTTTTAAGACAGTGGTTTCTGTTCTTTTTGAGTACAAGGACCAACCTTCTTCAAGTTAAAAAAATAATCACTGGTGGTAATTAAATTTTTAGTAAAGACTTAGAGAATACATGCTATCAGAACATATAGTAAAGTTAGTTATAATTCATGAAGTTTTCTTTTTTTTTTTTTTGAGAGATATTTTTGTTACAGGGCATGTGTGCTCGCCAGAGAGACAGAGATAGAGAGGCAGAAAGTGAGAAATCATTCCCCCCCCCGGGGGGATGGCCATGCCACAATCCTTTCTCTTTCATTCTCCTCTCTGGATTTTGGGCACGCACACACACATGCTCACTGTAAGTTTTAAGCCACCAGGTCCAGGACTGGAATTGCAGTTGACTATGTGGGAGTCCAGCGACGTAACCATTATGCCATCTTCTGGTCCCGAATTTTTCTTTTTCTAACAAGAGACTTGGAAAATATAAGGGGTCTTCAAAAAGTTTATGGAAAATACACATTGTGGAAAAATTATGCTTTTCAATTTTTTTGTACCCCAGTTAAAAAAAATTTTTTTTTAACTGAGAGAGGGGTGCATGCATTCATGAGATGGAAAGAGAAAGTATCCTCCAAAGGTATGTGGTCATGCTGCAATCCGTTTTCCTCCATTTCCCCATCCTGTTGGGATTTGGGGTACATACATGTGTCTGGCATGGTTTTCAAGCTGCCTGGGCCACAATATGAGCTGCAGTTGGCTGTGTGAGATCCAGTTCCCTATGCACCATGCTCAGCCACTACACTGTGGGGTCGGCCTTGTACCAAAAAAAATCATACTTTAATTCCACATTTTCATGAACTGTTTGAAGGCCCCTTGTAGTAGTACATATATAAGACATTGGGGCATATTTAATGAACTGGTATTTTTAAAATAATGTCTGGAACATGGTGTAGTTCTCTTATGAAATTTAGCATTATTTCATTCTCACTGTTATAGCTATTGGTACTGCTGTTTCTTTTTAGATTCTAGATGTGTGCTGTCTCGTAAGGTAGCCACTAGTCACGTGTGGCTATTTACATTAATCAACATTTAAAAATTCAAAGGTTGTTTAGTAATCAGTGGCCACATGTGGCTAGTGGCTACCATATCAGACAGCACAGATAGATCTAGAACTTTTCAACACATCAGAAAGTTCTACTGGATAGTGCTCTCAGAGTTCCCACCTATAGATTAGAGATTTGAGTCCTGCCTGCATGATGCATAATTGTCCTTTTTACTGCAAATTTCAGTAAAATCTTGAAGCCCACTGATCCTCTCAAACTTATTTCTCCTTGCCACAAAGACCATCCCAGGTACTTTCCCAGAGAGAAGACGCTGAACTAATATTAATGTTGTTTTGTCTGTAGACACACTGACAATGCTGTCAGAATATAAGTAGGTAGTTTGAGTTATTCCTGGAGCATAGAGGATAGGTTTTTGCTGGACCATAATCACTGTGGCTTAATCTGTCTTAATTGTAGGCGTTTGCAAGTTGGTTGGGACTGGGCAATGGGTGTCTTGTGTGGCTGATTGAACAGAGAGATTATGATAGGCCTCTACGGTGATCCATGACCCAGATGGGCTTTATTTGCATGAAACAGCTGAGCTAATCCACACAGATGTTCACTTTATTTATTTTCACTTTTTAGGTTTTGCCATAGGGTGCGTGTGCTTGCTGGAGAGAGAGACAGAAAAAAGAGGGAAAGTGAGAAATCATCCCCCACAATGGGAATGGCCATCCTGCATTAACTTTTCCTCCATTCTCCCTTTGGGATTTCTGGACACTTATGCACATGCACCTGGCATGTTTTCAAGCTGCCAGATTTCGGACTGGAAACTTCAAGTTAGCCATGTGGGATCCAGCTGCCTTAAGCACTTTGCCACCTGCAGATCCCAGATGTTTACTTTAACACTGACATCAGCCTTTAAAATACTTGCTTAGAAAGGTAAATCTCTGTCGTTCTAGAGCATGCCCAAGTGACATAAAATAACTTTTTATTAACTATAACATTCTTCTTCTTATTATTATTTTTGTTCATGCCAACAAAATTTTAGAAAAAGATTGGGATAAAATGGTATCAGAGATTATCAGAGAGGTCAGGTACACACAGATGAACATGTGTAACACCAGCAAGTCTGAATTATGGAGAGGTGAGGCAGAAAGTTCAAGTCATTTTAATATTTAATAGCTTTTATATCATTGTCAGAGTGCAAAGGAAGTGGATATGATGTGAGAGACCCATGGGGAGAAGGTTGGGGCTAGAGAGACAAGGTACCCTAGCAGAGGCCTATGATGGCCTGCTGGGGACAGACATGGTTCCATGGCTTCGCGGTGCCGGGTCTGGTGTGAGGCACTGTGGGAGGGACCCTGGCCAGAGTGTGTTTCCTTTGGCCTCCAGCCTCACTGAGGCCACAGAACGAAGCTGCCTGGGTCAGCAGCTTCCTGCCTTTCACCAGAGCAAGAACACTCCTTCTCGATGTGCTCCAGTCTAGTCCACGAGGGAATCCTGGGCGGCTGCGGCAGCCTCCTTCCACCACCCACTGCCAGGTGTGGGTGTCCAGCTGGCCTCAGGTCTGGAATCTGTGCTGCTGTCTTCACGTCCTCCAGTGGCAGATACTCAGGGGCACACAGCCATTGAGCACATGCTCTGTGCCAGTGTTCAGTCCACATGGGCGAACAAGGGTCACACGTGATTCCTAGCTCTCAGAGCCTATACCTGGCTCTTCACTGTCCCAAGAGCTGCTGGCCCTCTGGCCTGTTCTTTGCCACAAGCAATGGTCCTTTCCCACCTGCCACATCCAGATCTATCGGCTGTGGGTCAGGGCCCGTGGGATAGAGAAGCATGGATAAGACAGCTTTGCCCTTCATTAACTTACTTAAGGATAATTCACCCCTAAGGCAGAGTCTCTCAGATCCCAGAAGTGAGGTGTCCTCAGGGAGTTTACAAGAGTCCACTGGAGACTCCTGTGACATTGTGGACAGAGTAGCCCTAGGCTGCTTCATGGGGGAAGTGATAGCCACTGAATCTCTTGGGAAGGACTGGTTCATCCAGGAGAGGTGTGGAGACTGTGTCAGCCCAGAGGGCTGGCTGTACAGGGAGAATGGTGGCATTCTCTGACCTGGAACACCCGTTCCTCCCTCCCACTCTCCTCCCTGTCTTCCTTTTTTTTCACCCTCTGAAACTCTTTCTGTTCATTCACCTTCTCTTCTGACTTTCCTGTGAACCCAGGCTCAGGCCCCCTTTTGTTGGAGTGGTGCCAGTCCTGGGACATTACCACACTGTGGCTCCTTTTTAAGGGCTGACCCTGCCAGGGCTTGGGGTCAGCCTGCTGGCCCTGGCTGGCCACTTCCACTCCCAGCCTCACTCCCTGACTGGCCTACCAGACAGTCTTGTCAAAGATCACTTTGTTTAACCTCACAAAGGACACACTATGGGACTAGCGTTTCTGAGGAGGCTAAGGCCTCTGAGTTTTTGTTGTGTTTGTTGGTTTTTCCTGGTCCAGAAGCCATGGCCAAAAGCAAGGCATAGTGGATGCTGAGGGGCCCCACTCTGCTGGCTGACACCCCTACCCCAGCTGTGGTGTGGCTTGTCTGATAATTGCTCACAGCTGTCCCTCCTCTGGAGACCAGCCTCTAGTTGACAAGTGGCCTTGCCCTCAGAAATTGGCCACTGATGGAAGGGCACGGTCATGCAAGGCCAGGCCCTTCATCTCGATGGGCCTAGCTCTGTGGTACCATTCATGCTGCAGAGCCCACCAAGGGGTCAGGCTGAAGGGCGTCTCTGTCTGAGACACATTCCTCCAGCTGTTGATTCCTGCCCTTTCCTGCAAAAAAATGAGTCACCTTTTTGCAGGATTTAGAAGCCAATTTTTGAAGCTTTTTAAAAAATATCCTTAGGGCACAAGTGCTCACTGGAGAGAGATAGATAGGGACATAGAGAGAGAGAAAATGAGAAATGACCCCCGCAGGGGGCATGACCATGCTGCAATCCCTTCTTCATTCTCCTCTCAGGATCCTAGATATGTATGTACACCCAGTGTATCTCACAAGCCACCGGGTCTGAGACTTGAACTATGCCTTGCTTTTGGCCATGGCTTCTGGACCAGGAAAGACCAACACCACAGAGGCCTGGCAGTATTCAGAGGTCTCAGCCTCCTCATATGGAGTGGGCCTTATGGGATCCAGTGCTTTAACCACCATACCAGCTGCTGGCCTGTAAAGCTTTTAAAGTGAATATTAGGGGGATACAACATTGTGGGTTAATGTCTTCCTTTAAGCAGTCTGATCCTTCCTTCCTACGTGAATGTAATAAGAATAGGTCCTCCCCTCTGAGCTGATGGCTCTGTGTAGTACTGTAATACAACACAGGTGTGTTTTCCAAGAATTTAACTAGATTGTAGGTTCCATGCTGGTAGGGACCTTGTCAGTTCTGTTTGCTGCTGAATCTCTAGTGTCTAGCACGTGGTGTGAGGTCAACTAGGTTGCATGAAGAGATGAATGAAGAAACAATAGGGTATGTGTACTCTGTAACAGACTTCATGCTAACCATTATTAATGGAAAAATGACTGTGACATTTTCCCTCCCATCAAAAAACTCATAATCTAGAAAGAGAAATAGACAGGTAAGCAAATGACTGAAATAAAGGTGAAAATAGAGCTGGATATGAAGTGCTAGGAGAACTCATGAACAGGCAGTTGATTCTGCATGGGGAGGTTGGAGAAGTTACAGACAAGAAGAAACATTTGAGTTGGGCATTAAAAGGTGAGGAGTGTGGTAGTGGTCACAGTATGAAAGGACGTTCTAGGTAGAGGGATTAGCATGAATGGAAAGTGAGGATACGAGGATGGTTAGAAGATAGTGAACAGTTCAGTATGGGGGACTGAGGTGTGGCAATGTGAGGTGGGTGATGAGATGTGAAGCTAGAAGCAGGACAAGCCCATTGTAGAGGCCTTGAAAGTTTGCTAAAGACTTTGGACTTAATCCTTTAAGTAGTATGCCTTTTTTAAATTAAATATATATATATTTTTAGAAAGATATTTTGCTCTAGGGCATGTGCACTAGTCAGAGAGACAGGGAGACAAAAAGTGAGAAGTCACCCCTTGATGGGGTGGCCACACTGCAACCCCTTCCCCTCCATTCTCCTCTCGGGATTTTGGGCACCCCCCTTCTTCATTCTCCTCTCAGGATCCTAGATATGTATGTACACCCAGTGTATCTCACAAGCCACCGGGTCTGAGACTTGAACTATGCCTTGCTTTTGGCCATGGCTTCTGGACCAGGAAAGACCAACACCACAGAGGCCTGGCAGTATTCAGAGGTCTCAGCCTCCTCATATGGAGTGGGCCTTATGGGATCCAGTGCTTTAACCACCATACCAGCTGCTGGCCTGTAAAGCTTTTAAAGTGAATATTAGGGGGATACAACATTGTGGGTTAATGTCTTCCTTTAAGCAGTCTGATCCTTCCTTCCTACGTGAATGTAATAAGAATAGGTCCTCCCCTCTGAGCTGATGGCTCTGTGTAGTACTGTAATACAACACAGGTGTGTTTTCCAAGAATTTAACTAGATTGTAGGTTCCATGCTGGTAGGGACCTTGTCAGTTCTGTTTGCTGCTGAATCTCTAGTGTCTAGCACGTGGTGTGAGGTCAACTAGGTTGCATGAAGAGATGAATGAAGAAACAATAGGGTATGTGTACTCTGTAACAGACTTCATGCTAACCATTATTAATGGAAAAATGACTGTGACATTTTCCCTCCCATCAAAAAACTCATAATCTAGAAAGAGAAATAGACAGGTAAGCAAATGACTGAAATAAAGGTGAAAATAGAGCTGGATATGAAGTGCTAGGAGAACTCATGAACAGGCAGTTGATTCTGCATGGGGAGGTTGGAGAAGTTACAGACAAGAAGAAACATTTGAGTTGGGCATTAAAAGGTGAGGAGTGTGGTAGTGGTCACAGTATGAAAGGACGTTCTAGGTAGAGGGATTAGCATGAATGGAAAGTGAGGATACGAGGATGGTTAGAAGATAGTGAACAGTTCAGTATGGGGGACTGAGGTGTGGCAATGTGAGGTGGGTGATGAGATGTGAAGCTAGAAGCAGGACAAGCCCATTGTAGAGGCCTTGAAAGTTTGCTAAAGACTTTGGACTTAATCCTTTAAGTAGTATGCCTTTTTTAAATTAAATATATATATATTTTTAGAAAGATATTTTGCTCTAGGGCATGTGCACTAGTCAGAGAGACAGGGAGACAAAAAGTGAGAAGTCACCCCTTGATGGGGTGGCCACACTGCAACCCCTTCCCCTCCATTCTCCTCTCGGGATTTTGGGCACCCATGTACACGTGCCTAGTATGAGTCTCAAACCTCCAGGTCCAGGACTCAAACCACAGTTGACTACGTGGGAGTCCAGTAACCTAATCATTATGCCACCTGCTGGTCCCAGTATTATGATATTTTTGTAATTTTTTTAAACAGGTGAGTGACATGGTCATGTTGGTTGATATTTTAAAATGGTGATTCTTAATCATAGGAAAAAGCTATTTTATATCCCAGGGGACATTTGGTAATACCTAGTAGAATTTTTTGTCTTTTTAATTGCCAGAGGGCATGTGCATTCACCACAGAGGGAGACAAAAGAAAGCATTCCAGTGGGGTGTGCGGTCATGCCGCAATTTCCCTCCTCTGTGTCTCCGTCCCATCAGGACTTGGGGCATACATGTACATGCTACCCATTATGGTTTTCCTGTCGCTGGGGACACGATTTAAACTGCACTTGGCCATGTGGGATTGGCTCCAAACACACACTTAACCACTGTGCTATGGGGGCTAGCCCCTCTGGTGGCATTTTTGATTGTCATAACTGGGAAGGTGTTACTAATAGGAAGAGTTCAAAGGTGATGCTAGACTTTCTACAATGTCCAGAACATCACCTATAACAAAGAATTATCTGACCCAGGACACAAAAAGGACCATGTTTGAGACACTGCACTTTAAAAAGGGAATCCTGGCTACAGTGGAAGGGTGGATTGAATTGAGGATAACCTAGAGAAGGGGAGGTGACTCAGAATTAGGAGACAAGACTAGGCTGGGACAGGTGATAGAAATGTCTACAGTCAGACCTAGAAACTCAGCAGGTAGAAACTCTCTTTCTGTCCCATCCACTTGAATAGTTCAGTATATTTGAGTTCCTAAACTCTTTTCTTCTCCAAATTTCTAACTAGTTTCAAGCCTAGTTACTGGATTTTTCATGACTCTCTCCTTCATACTTTGGTCTTTCCATTATTTGAATTGAAGAATATTCCAATAAAACTGGCTCCATCTTCTACTGGTTAAAGGCATTTTATCTGTAAGTTATAGAAGGCTAAGCAGTTGGGATCTGAAGTCAGAGTGACTTTAGTTTGAGCCTTACCATGTATAAGCTATGTGACCTTGAGCAAGTTACTTAACGTCTCTGACCTCACAGGGCTGTTAAATGAATAAGGTAACGATTACAGATCTTGGCATAGTGCTTGGCATGTATTCAAGGCTCAACAAGTGTTCGTGGCCATTGTCACCATTGTTATGGTGATTGGCAGCCCCTTCCACTGGGAATATTAGCTCATTGGTTGGTTTGGAAAGTAGATAAACTTCCTTTCTCTAAATGCTTTCCAAACCTGCTTCACTACCCTACCAGGGTCACATATGTTGTAATGAAGTCAGCCTGAGAAGAGAACTAGGACAAGATAGTTTGTGCTGGCTAGGCCAAGGCAGTTACACTGTCTGTAACTTTAAACTCATTTATTAATTAATTTAGAAATGTTTAACTGTGGCAAATGTTTCTGCAATGTTAGAATGCAGAGGCAGGAACAAGGATGAGCCAGCAGAGGCTTTGGAGAAGGCTGGGCTACATGAAGTCATTACTGGCAATGGTCTCTACTGCTGTTGACTTTGGGAAAATCTTTCCTTTTGGGGCCAGCCAGTGGTGTGGTTTAGGTGGCTGGATCCCACATGGCCAGCTGCACCAGTTCTGGACCCGGTGGCTTGAAACACATGCAAAAGGAGGGAAAAATGGAGGAGAAGGGATTGTGGCTATTCCCCATGGAGGCTGCTTTCTTATTTCCTTCCTTCCTTCCTTCCTCTCTCTCTCTCTTCTCTTTCTTTCTTTCTTTCTGGTGAGCATACACACCCTCGGACAAATGAAAAAGAAAACAACCCAAAACTTTCTTTTTTCTATTTACCTTCTCTTATTTCTTGCTTATTTCCTGTGTGGCATTCTAGGATGTGTTTAGCAGCTCTGGCCCTTGGCAAGCTGTGAGGGTGGCCCTCGGTGCTTACTTGGCTCCATTGGCCAACTTCAAGGGCTCTTGGTTCCTTCCCCCTTGGTGCCCCATAGTGCCCCACTCCATCAACCTCTGCATTCAGGTCGCTCTATGCACTGTCCCTTCTCAGACATTCAGCATAACCCTGTGCTCTGGAGTCCTCCACTCCTCCATTCTCCTGTATCACAACTTCCCCATCTTGCCGACACTCCCTCAGAGCCCTGCTTCTCACCTTGTAAGGTGACATGTAGCCGATTGAACAAATGGAATAATGGACATTGGCAGCTGGTTTGTTCATGGGGAAGGCCGGCTCGTTCAGACTGGAGCCTATGTTGTTATTTCACCCAAGTCGGTGACAACACTGATAACCATGATAGGCCTCTCAGGCCAGGTAGGAAGGGGAGTAACCCTGTGGCTTTTTTTTTTTTTTTTTTAATTTTTTAGAGGTTTTCACTATAGGGCGCGTGCGCTCGCCAGACAGACAGAGAGACAGAGAGACAGAAAGCGAGAAATCACCCCCCAGGGGGGATGGTCATGCCACAATCCCTTCTCCTCCATTCTCCTCTCAGGATCTTGGGCACGCACGCACACGTGCCCGGCGTGAGTTTTAAGCCACCGGGTCTGGGACTTGAACTGTGGTCGACTACGTGGGAGTCCAGCGACATAGCCATTGTGCTAACTGCTGGTCCCACCCTGTGGCTTTTCAAAGGGAGACAGTTTGGGGAACTGAGGAGCCTTTAGCTGTCCTCGAGTCACACTGTCAAGACTGCTGAGTGTCTTACGTGGTCCCAGGGCTGTGGCTTAGTGCTGTGCCAGCCCTCAGGGCTAAAGAGATAGTATCTTATCCTCAGACTTACTCTTGAGACTCTTTTTTTTTTTCTCCCTAGAGAGAATGTGTACTTGCCAGAGAGAGACAGAACTAGAGAGAGGAGAAAGCATCCCCTTGAGAAATCAGTCCCTTTTCCTCTGTCCTTTCTTTTATGATTTTAGACACACACGCACCTGTGGTAGTTCACGTGACTTCTAGGACTGCAGATCAGTGTGCTGCCTCCTGCCCTTCTGCTGCTGGTCTGAAATTCTTGCTGCATAACTTAGTCCAAATCTTGCCATATCTTGGGAAACTTAGAGAGCTGAACATATCCCTACTGGGTAGGGCTCCCCTGGTCATGAGCCAGCTCCCTGTCAACCTGGAGGATTGCTGTCCATCACCTGGGAGGGTAAGTGGCTGTAGCCCTTCGTCAGGGAGTGGAGGATCCTCACCAGCTGTCTGCCCTCTTGGGCTGTGTGCTTTCAGGTCATGGCCAGTGCAGCTGTGGGGACTGCCTGTGTGACTCTGACTGGACCGGCTACTACTGCAACTGTACCACCCGCACCGACACCTGCATGTCCAGCAACGGGCTGCTGTGCAGTGGCCGGGGCAAGTGCGAGTGTGGTAGCTGTGTCTGCATCCAGCCGGGCTCCTATGGGGACACCTGTGAGAAGTGTCCCACCTGTCCAGATGCCTGTACATTTAAGAAGTGAGTGGAGAGAGTTGAGAGGCTGGCAGGTGGAAGAAGGCCTCCCAGACTAGATTTCCTAACTCTGTTCAGGTTCTGCTCTTCCTCATCAAAGCTTTAGGAGAGAAATCTTCTCCAGCCAGATCCCTAGCTCTCCTTTCCTGGGACAGCTTTGATAGCTCCAGATGTTGGAGATAGAGACAGCTGTGAAGGGGCTGCAGTACTGTCCCCGGACTCTAGTTGGAGAGTCCCTTCTCTTAAGATGGCATCCTGAATCCCTTCGAGTTGAGAGGAAGGCTAAACCAGATAACTTCTAGGGAACATTCTAGTGCTGATGTTCTGATCTGAGGGAGGTATGGGGGCTGGGGTGACTGAGGACACTGCAAAATACTTTTGACCAGCACAAACTTCACCCATTTGGAGAGTCCGAGGAAGCTCCCATCTGCCCAGTCTATGGCATTGCCAGTCCTCTAGCATTCTAAGCAGGGCCAGGTTCATGGGCATGCAGCCCTATGCAGCTGTACAGAAGGGCCCCTCGTGTGGTTTACTATCACTGTCACTATCTAGAAGTCTTTTTATTTTTTATTTTTTAAGTTCCCCTTTCCCCCATAGGTCATGTGCACTTACTAGAGAGAAACAGAAAGAGACAGAGAAAGGGAAAGTGAGAAATCACCCCCTGTGTGTGGAGGGGCATGGCCATGTCACAATCCCCTCTCCTCATTCTCCTCCTGGGATGTTGGGCAAGCACACATACATGTCGGGTATAATTTTCAAGCTACTGGGTCTGGAACTCCAACCATGGTCAGTCATGTAACCACTAAGCCACCTGCTGCCCCTAGAATTCTTAATTTTTGAAGAATGGACTTAATATTTTTGTTTTGCACTAGACCCGCAAATTACATGATTTGGTTCTGACATTAAGGTTCCCAGAAGTGGCATAGGGCTCAGCCTTTGCCACAGCCCTGAATGAGACATGGAGACATTTATTGATAGATTTAGGGATCTCTGGCTGCCAGGTCCTGCCTCTGGCAGAAGAGAACACTCCTGCCCCTGAAATCCACACTTGATTCTCTGGGCCTCTGGGATTATTTTACAGGTGTGTTTTCTTCACTGAGGTTGAGCAGAGGTCAGGCGTAGGCTGGGAGACACCTGGGTTGCTCCTCGCTACCTTAATTGCTATGTCTTTTCTCCAGGGAGTGTGTGGAGTGTAAGAAGTTTGACCGGGGAATCCTACATGAGGAAAATACCTGCAACCGTTACTGCCGCGATGAGATTGAGCCAGTGAAGGAACTCAGTAAGTTCAGCACACCTTACACCTAGGTTCTTTTATTTTATTTTAAAAAAATTATTTATTTAATTAATTTATTCATTCATATATTTTAATTTGAACACACACACAACAACACACACACACACACACACACAGGGAAAGTGAG